GAAGGGTAAAGTCTGTTCTCTGGACCCCCCATTCTTACAATCCCTTTACTGTTATTGTCTGTTTGAATTGAAACTTCTAGTATTCATTTTCCACCACATCTAGGCTATATTTCCAGAATATTGACTGGGATATGAGGGAAAGGACACTGATTAAATATCCAAACTTCTATGTGCACAAACAAGCTACTTTGTAATTCTCAAAGGTTTTGCATAATTGTACTTTCTAGCACAGCAAATGATTTTTCTCTCTGAGTTATCTTCAAGAATTATCTGTGTCTACAACTGACTGATAACACTAATCTTAATGGATGAAATCCCTGCTTGGAACAGAGTACAATGAGAGTCGTGGGAATATGCTACTTGAAAATTGCTCTGAGGGTAGGATACAGTTACCTATTATAATCTATTTATTTATTTTTAAAAAGTCCCAAAAAACCAGAGTTACCCCAAAAAGATGCATCACTCTTCGTTGCTGTGTTGCCATATGAATGTGTGTAGCACTGCATGAAAGATTAAAATCCAAGTTTGCCTTTATGGGATAATGTTTTTTGAAATACTTTAAATATTTCTGAAATAGAAGAGTGTACAGACCCTGGTTAAGAGCAGAGATTGGACACTCTACATTAACTGAAAAGATCCAAATGGTCGGTGAGCTTAAAATCATGGCTTCTAACAGCATTGTACTCAGCTTCTGCTTACGATGGCCTTTTCATGATTGAGATGTCTGCAACAGATTTTATTTTTTGAGCAAATACAATGAAGAATAGTAAGTTTACTTGTCTGTGTGACTATAGAGCGTTATTAAAACCATTGCAGTTTGTCTGCTGCTGTGCTGTACAACTGTAGCTTTTTCAATGGTTGTCAAGTATTGTGTAGAAAGCAGGAGGAGCACAGAAGGGCATAGCGTGGCCTTTTGTAGAATTAACACCTTTAATCTAATGAATTTTCTTCATTAAGTTATTAAACAATCATTAAGAAAGTTAGAAAAGTGATTTTTCTACTTTGGTTTTAAATGATAAAATAATGTATTTTCAGAATCTAGGGATTTTTTGAAGCTAAATTTTTTAAATTGAAATCTCTAGCCCTTTGGAAGAACATTAGGAAGTCTGAATAGTTGCTTCCTGAAAGAAACGTTGAAATAGAAATTGTATGTTAATTGATCTTTTCTCCTATTTTACAAAGATGAGCTTTGTCAAGCAATGATTGTGGTCTGTCTTGCTAATAACCTTAATGAATCTTAATTAGATATTTACATAAAAGTCCCATTTTTCATACCAGCAGGTCTTTAGTGTAGGTCTGAGAAGAAGGATGTCATGTCTTAATAAAATAAACTCTCTTAAAATTTCCTTTCAAAGTGTCCTTGAAACATTGAGAGGAGACTGTGTGTTGGTTTCTTTTAATGTGTGATTTTAGTGTGAAATGATTATTACTTTGTTAATGCTTTTTCCCCTCTGTATGCCTAATAAAATTCTTAGTATATTTCATCTGGTCAAAGGATTGCTTAGCTCAGACATAGGCTTTGCTTCAAAACAAGTAACTGTTTAAGACTGTCAATTGAGATACTATTTTCAAAATGTCACTTAAATCAAGACTTGAAAATGTATAATTGAGGGAAACTATTTGTAATGTGGTACAAAAACAATGACAAAATAAAGCATTTATATTCCATGAGACAGGCCCTCAGTGAGCTGTTGGCATTTACTTTAATTTATTAGAGAAATTGAATATAGAAAAAGTTTTGTGTCTTGGTAACTCCAAAGATTAGAAGTTAATCTTATTGCAGTAATGATTCTGATCTCAATACAGATCAGCAGAATGCTATTTCAGGACAATTTGTGAAACTTACCTACTCTTCTGTTGCCAAGTTTCAGTTATTAAATTAACTCTGTTAAATACTTACTGGATTTTTTTAAATAAACAGTAGCCAACTGCACTCACTGAAACATTTTTTTTAAAGACATATCAATAAAAAGATAAGCCTTAGTTAAGAGTAGATTACAAACTTTGTTACATGTCTAGACTTTGTTTGGAATAAATGAACCTTGTTTGTTGGAAATATTCTTCTGTGTATTTTTGAACCTACATTGTTTTTAATTCAAATGCCTTGTCTGTCCTGTGGTACCCCCTTCCCTGTCCTGATATCATGGCAAGCTTGCCTACAGGCGTTCTTTCTAGTACTATTTGGCCAGTAGTTCATGAGTCTGTGAAATCGTGGATGGATCTCAAGTTAGCCTTTTTTTTTTTTTTTAATTTATTATTGTACTATACTTTCCAGGAAACTGGTATGTGTAGTATCACGGATGCAGTAATTTTCAGAGGTGATCTTCATTTTGCAAAAGTATTATTCATATTGAATGATAGTCAAAAGTATTCATCAGGAAATTGCGTAATTTCTAATATTTTACATGTGACTGGTCTTATTAGAATTAGCTGCTCTGTGGTAAATCTAGTATGCCTAAACCGCACAAAATGTCTCTGTGGTGACGATCATGGTGTGGCCTGGGGGGAAGGGGGGAAATACAGCATCATAAGTGAGTCTTCATCTTTGTAATTTCTGGGGCTTGAATCATACTGATTTTGGTAGGCTAGAAAAATTGCCAGTGCATCTCCAGTGGGAGATAAAAATTAATGTTTGCGTGTGTGAGAATTTTCTGTCCTGGGAGGTATTACAGTTGCAACAATAGTGTAGAACAGAGCCTGCAGAAGAGAGCTTGCTCTAGGTTTTGCTTTAAGTTTTCAGGGGTCTTTGTAAGGAGGTGAGGTTGAGGAGGAAGTAGCATCACTTTTGAAGCTTGGAGAACTACCAAAAAAATAAAGGCCTTGTTTAGACTGTGAAACATTGTGCATTGGGTTTTGAGAAAAGGAGGAGAAAACTATTAAATTGTAATGCGCCTGAATCTCTACAGGCCGTAAAATGCTGCTGATATCTCAGTTTCTTTTAGTTGAACAGTTTTTCAGGATGGGAAGAATAATATATGTCTGATTATATGAACTTCCTTTTTCTTTGCTAATTCTGGGCTATCCTTTTACAGTTTTGAAATAAACAATCTTGACTCAATTCTTCCATTTTCTGATTTTATCTTGGAGGAGTTATATATGTCAGGTGTGTCAACAAGTCCATGAAAGAAGGGAGATCAAGAGAAGCAGCTTCTGTACAGAATCAGATGTTGTGAAGGGCAAGAGGTTTCGTCAAAAATTCTTCACTAACTTGGCAAATTCAATATTCTGGAGGAATCCTGGCATTCCTGTGGGGAGGAGCAGCTGTTAAAATCTGCAGAATTTGAATGCAGGCAAAGACTATGTCCTACCAGAACAAAAGGAGGCGTTTAGGTGGACAGAGTCAATCCTAAACCTGGAACTGCTCTAGGGAATTTCACAGTCCGAACTACAGCCTGCTTTTGTGGGGGCAATAGCATATCCTGCTTCGAACTTCAAATTATTAAGAGAAGGGTGACATTTTGCCCACTAATGATGTCCAAATGGATCCTTTAAAGAGTAATTTTGATTAAAGGTTTTTGGTTTTGCTATTTTTTAAAAAAACCCTCTGTTTAACTTTTTTTTTTTTAGTCTATAGAAAAATCAATTATTGAAACTGAAATAAAGTCCTCTATTAGCAGGTACACAGGTCAACATCACCTTTTATCAGGTCCTTACTTTTCTTTGTTTTCCCTTATATTTTCCTAAGGGCAATATTTTTCTGAAAATACCTGTCACTACTTTCCTTCCTTTCCTCCCCTGAAAATCTTTCGGAGAAGTATAATAAAAAATTTTCCTTAGTGTTTTCATGAAAATAATGAAAAATATTTTGTTCTGCAAAATAACTGTGGGCAGGAAAACAGTAAGGTGGGGAAGAACTTCTGTTATTACTAGAAAACTGCATAAGATTCTGCTGGGTGTCTGTGTCAAGGGTTTGGGCCTGAATCCTCTCAGCAGGGTAGCAAAATATGTAACTGAGAAAGGTTGTGCTGGTTTGTGCTCTAACTTGTATGTTGAATTGGGTCTACAGTTCGCATGACAACTAAGCTTCATTCTAAAAACAGTGTGTCCTCATGAGTGTTTTCCCACAATAAATTGACTGAATCACAGAATGGCTGAGTAGGAAGGGACCTCTGGAGTTTATCTGGGTCACCTAGAGCCACTTGTCCAGGAATTGCCTTTTTAGTTTCAGAAAACAGAGGGAGAATACAATGCTGTACAAGCATAAAAGACACTTGGCTTTTCTTACTCTCCCACCTTCCATCAGGTGAGTGGGTTGGATGAAGAGACAAGGTGCTGTTGGTGCTCTCATGTCAGTGTGCAGGTGTAGCACCTAGAAATCAAAAACTGTGCTCTTGTCCCAGTTGAAGAAATGCAACTAAAGGTAAATTGAGTGAAAACCAAATGAGGTATTTAGCAGCTAATTAAAATAGTCATTCCATTTAAGCCTGGTATGCAACTGAGAGTCAGAGTGGAAAAGGACCTCAGTTTTGCCTCTTTACATGAAAAACATAGCTACTTTTGTGCTCTAAAAATGCATTAGGCTACATAGGCAGGCAGATCTGTCAAAGTGTAAATGATTTGTTTAACCTTGGATTTTCTTTTAATGCTTAATTATGCTTAGCATTAAAGTATTTCTGTGAAAACTAAAATGTGCAGTCATCACTTGATACTTCTCTAACAGTTTCCATTGTGGTGTGCTGTCCTTGGCAATTGTCCAGATGCCTGCCCAGCTCTTCTCTCGCTCCCTGTCCTCAGCAAAAGGGAGGGGAAATAGGATAAGAAAACTTGTTGTTTGAGATAAAGATGGAGAGATCCCTTAACCATTGCTATCATAGTCAAAACAGTCTTGATGAGGAATATTAATTTATTGCAAATTGAAGTCGATTATGAGAAACAAAGACAAAATTTCTGATGTCTTCCTTTCCCTCCCACCCTTTTTTTCCTAGATTCAACTTGACTTGTTTATTTCCAGTTCCTCTTCTTTCTCACTATACCTTTACTTACTTTTCTTCTCATTTTAGGAGGGGCAAGAAGCACAGCATAATTCTGAGGACCCAGCTCTCAGTGAGAGTCCATGCCTGCATTGGTAAGTTAAGTTCCACATGTCTGAAAGAGAACAAATAAACAGAATTGATTTCCAAGAAGCAAATCTGGGGAGTATGAATTGCACTTGGCTGTGTTCCAAATTGACAGTAATGGCCAATAAATTGATTTTATTATTTTGTTTGTTGCATGCTGCTATTAGGTTGTATTAACTACACTATCCTTAAAGCATGTTAAATATCGCTGGGAAGTATAGCATTTGGCAGTGATGTCAGATGGTTGGGTGATTCTTTGAAGAATCTTCAGTTGTCTGTCTTGTCACAGCCTTTGTGTGCACCTGAAAAAGACTGTGTTCTGGATTGGGATCTGAAGAATTGTTGGCTGACAGCTATCTGCTATATTTTAATAGCATATAAAGTTTATTATTTCACATCTTGCAGATCTTGGCTGCATATTTGTCATTATCACACTGTCACTGTCTTAAAAACCCTGGTTAGAACAATGCTGTCACAAGGAAAAGTCCAATGAAAGTCATAATGTGTATGTCAAAAGAGCTTTAAGGTTCCATGAAAGGAGGCTGATGGTGTTAATATGTTCTCTATGAAAGGTCTGGGATGGTGTTAATGTGCTCTCCAGCATGCTACAGAGCAGAATGTTTGAGTGTCAGTGGAAAATCTAACGCTCATGTTGTGGTGACAGTATGACAGATTCTATGGGTGGCTGGTTTAAAACAAAAAAAATTAGAAATCCTGTATGTCTGTGCCACAGTTGTCTTCCGCTTCTCCATAGTAGATTCAACAGTGTAATATGTTTAACTTGTTGGTCTTGGTTCAAGATATCATAGCTGAAGCCTTGAAATATATCTTCCTTCAAGAAGAGGAGAAAGTCAAAGTTTTATGTCATTTCTACAGTGACTTTGGAGGGATTCAGGCTTTAAATACAGCTAAACCTTTTCCCCTGCCCCCAGGATATGTTATGAAATGGCATTTCTGAGAATTTGAACTGAGCATAAGCAACCTACAGAATTCCACAAATACCTCTCATTGAGAACAATTTCTAGGCTGCCTTGTGCGGGAAGTTTCTCCTCTACTACCATTGACTTGAGGAAGAACAGTAGAGCAACCGTACGTGTTAAGTGTTAGAGAAGGAACAGAGATGATGCAAAGTATAAACTGATTTTATAAATGTGAGTGAAATTAAGAACAGCTTGTAGAAGATTGTTCTTGTTAGGTCTGGAAGTATATTTGGCAAAACAGACCAGTACAGCAAGACAAGATTTGATAAGTTTCCCAGACTGAGGTTTTATAAAAAGAATTTTCATGTAATTTTTTTTTCTGCAGAGTGCAGCCATCGAGGAATTGGAGCACATAAGGTTCTGAGTGTCGACGTGTGGTTGCATTGTTGTTATCTGTTTTCATTCAAGCTTACTGTGGGCAATTAGCCATATTACCGTGCATGTATCTTAATTGTTCCTGTATGAAAGTGTAATCCCTTGTCAGGTGCTGTTGCTCTCTGGCGGCAGTGATGCATTCAGCAGTGAGTACAGAGGAAGCCAGGCTGCAAAACTTGAGTCCACATTTCAAACTCCTAGAGAAGAGGTGTGTTTGGATATGGGCTTTTGGCTTGGTTCATTATAGTCAGAAAAGCCAAATGCAAGTTCTGGATCTAATTTCCATCCCCCCTGCTGAAGTTTAGATTTTTGGGGTAAGGTTTTGTTTCAGCCCCTAGCTTGATGTAATGTAGTTTCTTTTCTCTTATTTTCTTTTTCATTTCTTTTCATATCGAGTTTGTCTTATTTTTTTGGTATGGGATAGTTTGAACAAGTCAGGGAACATTCTGTGTTTCTTACTACTGGCACTGTTTGCAGAGCTGTGCCTGGCAGTCAAACCTGTCACAGAATAAGAGGGCTGTTTCACTGGCACAGTGGGTACTGCTGGTGTGTGTGTGTGCACATCAGCTGCCTGTTAAGTCTCTTTTGAAATGCAAGCATTAGGTTTAGATGTTAAAAGATATGTTACATATTTGGAGTAGAAGTCAGGAGCTAAAGGAATCTGAGATGTTGTTACGTGGAGTAAAACTGTCACGCTTTGGGTGTTTTCTTTCAGTCTTCACAATCTCCATGGAAAGAATTGTGGTTAGCAATGTTACTGACTCTGCAAAGTCCCCAACAGGTAGCTAGGGCTGCCTTCTGAGAAGGTGTGGTTTGTTGTGTAGTGACCTTTCTGCAGAGCCTCCTGTCATCTTTGTATTCGGAGTTTTACTTTCTTCTTAAGGCCTGATAGGTGTAAAGAAGTAGCTCTCCTTCCATAAACTCTCCCATTTTGAAGCTGGATCACTATTTTTTCCTTCTTCCTAAATCATTGTACTTTTAAATTGTGGGAAATAACAGAAGTGTTTATGTTCAGATGTCCAGATAAAGTTTTCCATCGTTAGTGACTTCGGATCTCTGGAGAATTCATTGGGCTTCAGTGTCAGAGGATGTATTGACTAGATCTACTACTACTGATGTTTTTGAGACCTGGGAAGACTTAGCAAGTCTCATGTCAAGTTGGGTAGGATTTTTGGTTTCAAGCAGACCAGGGAAGGAATAATACCTAATAACTTGAGTGCAGAAGTTGTGGTATTTTCTACTCTGTTAAATACAAGTCCCTGTTAAGTACCTTAATTTAATGCATTATTACTTTCTCCTATTTTTTCAGCTCTCAATTTCAGTTCTTTTCTTATGTACATATTATGTACATATACTTTCAGCATGAAGGAATAAATTTTCTTTTAAATATTACTCTATTCTCCCATTTTGGCTTAATCCTGATTAAATTATCAGGATTGATTAATAGCTTATACTTTTAAGTGGTTTTAATATAAACTTCAATATTTAGAATGTTTCTTTACATCAAAAGAGCATTCCTGAAAACAGTTCTGTTCAGAGAATGTAACTAATTGAAAATTATAGATGTATTTTTGTACTTGTTTATGTCCAAGACCTTAGTGGAGGAATCATAAAATCATAGAATAGAGAGAGTTGGAAGGAACCCAAAAATCATTTAGTTTGAACCTAATGACTAAAAGTCATTTAGTTCTAACTCCCTGCCATGGGCAGTGATGCCACCCACTAGAACAGCTTGCTCACGGCCTCATCCAAGCTGACCTCCAGCACTTCCAGTGATGGGGCATCTACAGCTTCTCTGGGCATCCTGTTCCAGTATCTCAGCACTCTCACAGTAAAGAATTTCTTCTTGACTTCTAATTTAAATTTGCTGTCTCTCAGTTAAAAACTATTGCCTTTTGTCCTATCACTAGCCATCCATATATAAAGTGGCTCTTATTTTTTAAAAGACCCCTTTGATTACTGCAAGACAGCTATATGGTCTCCTTGAAGCCTTGTCTTCTCCAGGCTGATGAGTCCCAGTTCTCTCAGTCTTCACAGGAGCGGTGACCAGAGGGCTGGAGCATCTTTGTGCCCTTCAGACCTGTTTTGCCGGGTCCATGTCCTTCCTGTGCTGGGGACTCCAGAGCTGGATGCAGAGCTCCATCTGGGGTCTCAAAATGGCAGAATAGAGGGGCAGAAGCCCCTCACTCAGCCTTCTGGCCATACTTTTGATGGAACCCAGAACATGATTGGCCTTCTGGACTCTGAGTGCTCCTTAAATCAGATAGTGTCAACTGTAGGGTTTTTTTCCCACAAGCTTTTGTATTTGACCTTTTATTCAAATCACATTTATTATGAGTTACTACCCTTGTGGGAAAAGTCTTTTTAGTATTTTTGGCAGCCATATGACTTTGTATTTATTGTGTCTTAACATTATTTTAGTTTGTATATATTTAACAATTACAGGGCTCAGCTGAAGCCTTGATAAAGTCTAATGTAAATGAGAATATAATTATAGAAAGTGAACACCAACAATGTCAAAAGTTTTAGCCCCTGAAGCTAAGAGGAAGGTTGTAGTCAGAGCAACATGATGACAGTGAAGTTTTAAAGATCTTTACCAGCTCCACATTTCCTGCAGAAGGACTCTGTTTAACCATTAGGTCCTTGGTTAGCCAGCTCTGATTGTGGCTCCTGCTTCCTTTGTTTGTTCATTGCTTCATGGCTTTTTTTCTCAAAATCTGATGTGATCTCTGAGGGAAAAGGCACCATTTGCTCTCATATATCTGGCTGCTGTATTTAGCCCAAGAGAGCTCCTATGTCCTCTTCTAAAATGCTTATTCCTGTGATGTTAAATCAGGAGTGTTGCAATCAGTGCTGAGAATGATGTTTGGACAGGGATCCATGACAATGACTTAGAATGATTCTGCCAAAAGAAGTTTGGTGTAAGCTTCAGTTTTTAATACAATGTAATACAAGAAGAATGCAAATAACAAAAGTTGATGTGGTTCTGAGTGAATGTATTGACCTGGGATTACTTAGAATACTGTGGCTTGGAAGGTTAGCAAATGTTGCAAGGAGTATTTTAAATTTTACTACCTTTTTGTGTCAGTTTATTATTAAAAAATCCCCCCAAACCCCAAGCCAAATAAGCAAACAAAACCAACCAAAACGCACACCCAGGACCCCCAGTTGGTTATTTAAATGCTTGTGCTTTATAAAATTACACTTTTTGTATGGTTAGATCTCTCTCCTGTATTTGTGCAAAGTTTTCTTTTATCTACCAGTAGATTAAAAATAATTTGCATAGATATTTGTGTATATTGCATTTCATAGCTTGATCCAGTTAGGGCCCTAAACAGAGTGCAAGTATATTATTGCAAGAGTCTTGCAAAATGTATAATACAGCTTTGGTATAAGTTGTTATAGCCATTTTATAATCCTGATCTATTGGCTCTTGCATGTGAGTAGATGCAGAGTTACCTCCACAGTGGATTATTCCCAACTCTGGGACACCAGTGCTGCCGCGCTGCACAGCGGCTCTTTCTAGCCCCTGCTATCGGGGCATCTGTGTTAACCAGCAGTGTTATCACCAATAACTCAGCCTTTCCACAGTGCTCTTGGGATTATCTTTTTGATATCCCCTTGCTCTTAGTATCATTTGTGAAATGTAGCCA